AACATTAAAGCATGTCAACATATTTTGTTACACCAAATACACAAAATAATGATCTTTAAAAAAGCATCATATGACCCCTTTAATAAATGCCTTATATCAGGGTTTCCCAAAACAGGATTCACAAACCCCTAGAAAAGCTAATAATTAATAAAATTATAATAAAAATAACTAAATAATTATTTTTTGTTTACCTGAATGCCATGTGATCATTTACCAACATGAGAACTGTGAACATATGAATATTTTGCTAAATTACTGAAATATTAACTTAAAATTTCAGAGGGTATTTACTAAGTAAATATTTTATGTCAAAGGGGTTTGACTGACAAAACCATTTGGGAATCCTTGCCCTATAATGATCTAATTTTGTAAGTATGGTCTATACTTACGGTTGTTAACAGCAGCAGTGGTTTTCTTCCATAATCATCTGAAAGAGCCCCAGTAATGGGTGATGACAGAAATTGTAGCAGAGAGTAGAGAGAGCCTATCAGACCTAAGACACCAGAGTCGAAGATAATCAATGTACCTGTCTTCAATACAAAAGGTCAATTTGAATTATGTGCTGCATTTGAAGAAACCCCCAACATCAGTCAGAGTAATGAAGTTACCTCCAAAAAGAACACTGTTATATTTTGTTTCCATAGGAACTCCAACCACCCCTCTGAACCAATCCACTACACTCTGTAACGACTGATACACACCGTCCTGTAGATGCAGAGATTACAACATCAATATATATATGCACCAGTATGGCAAGCCGTTTTAGCTTAAAACATTCCTAGCGTTACTCGTCATAATTGCATTTTTACTAGTAACAATTCAATTAGAGAGCTATACAACTGAATCCTTACTAGTAATAATTCCAATTATAGAGCTCTCTAATGCAACTTTTACTAGTAACAATTCAGATTAGAGAGCTCTCTAATTTCATTCTTACTGGTAAAAATGCAATTACAGAGCTCTATAATTCAATTTTACTATAAAAACACATTAAAGATATGTTTAATTGCAGAGCTATGTAATGGAATTACATGGAATCCTTACTAGTAACAATTTAAATTAGAGAGCTCTCTAATTCAGTTCTTACTAGTAATAGTTAGATTAGAGAGCTGTCTAAATAGAATTATTACTAGTAAATCTGAATTAGAGAACTCTCTAACTGTAATTCTTACTAGTAAAAAACGAATTAGAGAGCTCTTTAATTGAATTAAAGAGCTCTCTAATTTAATTGTTACTAGTACAAATTGCATTAAAGAGCTCTGTAATTGTAATTCTTACTAGTAAGAATGCAATTGCAGTGCTCTCTAATTAAAGTAGAGAGCTCTCTAATTAGAATTGTAACTAGAAAAATTTGATTTAGAGAGCTATCTTATTGGCATTGTTACTAGTAAGAATTTAAATGTAGAGCTCTCTAAATGAATTGTTACTAGTAAAAATGCAATTCTGACGAGTAACGCTGGGACTATTTTAAAGGTGGGGTATGTATTTTTTCAAAAACGCTTTAGAAAACTGAGTCGGGGCGAGTACCAAAACAAACTTGTAGCCAATTAGCAGTAAGGGGCGTGTCTACTCATGATGCGGAGGAGAGAGCGCTCAGTGCACAGGACGGACATTAACTGAGCCGAGCGACGACAGAAAGATAGAGATGGCGGATAAAAAACAAAAGAGGAAAACGTCTGCAGAACAAAAGAAGGCTTACGATAAGGCAAGAAGTAGGACCCGTGTAAATATCGAATCAGCTTTCCAGCTCTGGAGAGAACTCAAGAAGCGGAAGGCCTACGATCGGACACCGAGGATGCTTTGTTTCTTCTCGATCCTCTGAATAGAGAGAATAAGCACGGACCGCCAGTAAAATAATGTATACAATTACAGTGTTACATTTATGCGAAAGAGTTGTCATTTTATTTAAACCCATCACTATTTAGGTGAATAAAATAGCATAAAACAAAGCCCATCCAATGTTACAAGCACACAAAGTATTTTTGTCTTCACATTTAAAAATATCTGGGTCATTTTGTCATTTTAAGTGCCATGTTTGCCTGCTACAGTAACATATTAATGCAGTTATATAATTTGTTATAATGCTTGCTTTGCAAAGACCCATAATCATTATGAACGTGCCATATGTGCATTACATTTTAATCTGACTTAATAGATTTGAATGAAACATAGCTTTGGTGTAGGAACCTTTATTAAAGCATATTTTAAAATAGCATCTGTTGACTGTGATATTTCTGTACACGTCATCTTAAATCTGCGCTTACAAATAATTATGAAATAACATGAAAGACAGCATGTACAGTAGCATAAATGAAAATTCAAACCAGCAAATGTTTCCTATTCACAGGCGGAACCATACAGAAAAACAAACGTTTCAGGGGGAACACGACAAGGGCGCACACAACGTGAAGGACTTCAAAATTGTTCAGCTGTCACTGAGTGCAGTAAGTTCAATATGTCAAATAGAATGAAATGATTTACTGACGATTAAACCGGGAAAGGTCATTTTTATTCGTATATTACATATTAGCGATGCTTGTTGCTGTTTCTAACACCATTAGTCAATCAGGGCCGTTTCAATGGCCATAGCAAGTGTTCAGTGTAACAGAAGCAGCATAATATTTCATATCTTAAAATTGTGTTTAGTTTGACTACACGTACAGGATACTGGCACAAGAAAAAGCCTTATTCACTCAACTTGGCATTTTCATGACTGGTCAGTAATCTGCACTGAATACTGTGTATTGTGTTCTCTGCTGTTTGTATTGTCAGGTTCATTGTTCCTGCTCCCTCATTTGCACTTGAATGCAAGTATACAATGAAGCGCCTCGCTACTTTGCAGTGACCTCTACTAAAAGTTGGTCGTGACAGCTCAACAGACAAGATGATGTCCACCAGACTACTGACACTGCTTGAGCCGCATGCATTGAAGAGGGGTCTACCACAGATCTGCGCTGCCCATCTTTCAAGTCTCAGAAGGCAGCATGGAAACCTCGCCACAGCCTTCTGTCAGCCTGGATCCTGCTTTAACAAAAGTGACGATCATAAACAGAGAATATGGCCTCCTTTGCTGGCAGGTCACAACTGTGGCAGAAGGTTTTTTAGCCTCACTCCTGCTGGGATTGTGAACGCAGCCCCGGCGTCCGTTCAGCCGTACCTCAGATTGATGAGGCTGGACAAACCCATAGGTGAGCTCATGTGAAACGGAGATGTAATGTGTTGTTATCCAGGATGCTCTTGCAAACTACAAGCTGTTCTTTGTTTCAGTGAAATTTCAATGTTGTGTTCTTGTAGGAACGTGGCTGCTGTATCTGCCTTGTACGTGGAGTATTGGGTTGGCGGCAGACCCGGGATGCCTTCCTGATCTGCGCATGCTTGCGCTCTTCGGTGTGGGAGCTTTGCTTATGAGAGGAGCAGGATGCACTATCAATGACATGTGGGATAAAGACTTTGACGTGAAGGTAAGAGTACATACGTAGAAGAAGATGGATTGTTTCCCTCATCATGGTCTTCTTCCCTTAGTCCCAGAAAGTCAACTTTTGCTTATTCTCACTATCTGAGAACATTCGACATAATGGTTATCTATTCCACTAGTGGTATAAATTTCATCATTGCCATCTGCACACCCCAGACTAAGGCTAACATATCTCCTAATCTTACCTGTGTCAGCATGTCAAAGCAATTGGGCACCTCTGCTATAACATATCTCATAAACAGTGTCAGATAATAAGACTTAAAGGGATAGTTCACCCATAAATGAAGGTTCTGTCATCATTTACTCACCCTCATGTTGTTCCAAACCTGTGGAACAAAAGAAGATATATATTTTGTGGTAAGAAGAGAAATGCCCCAGTGGCTTTTGTTGTTGTTTTGTCCATACAACAGAAGTCTGTGGTAGCCAAAACTGTTTGGTTACCAACATTCTTCAAGATAACGATATGAGTGTGAGTAAATAATCATAGAATTTTCATTTTTCAGTCAACTGTCACTTTAACCTGATTTGATATGAAACTCAATTGGAAGACTTCAGTGTTTCCGGAAGTTAACAGACATGGGATGCCACTCATGCTTGACTTGTCTAATTATCATTTTAGGTCTCATTTAGTACATAACTGTATCATTAAACAGGTGTATAATACAAGCAGAATAATGCAATTGAGTCTAAATAAAAACCACAAATTTGCCAATAGGAAAGTGCTAATTATTGGGTTGTTGATGTTTTATCAGTTTAATCAGGCAGAATCTTGAAAAAGTGGGTCAAATGATTGTTAGAGTTAGACTATTAGCAAGGTTCAGGACAAAAAAAAAGACGACCTGGATTTGATCTTGGCTGCTGCTGGAATCAGATTTTTGGATAGCCTATGTCATATTTCTGGTAGGTGTCAAGGACAGCCACTCGGCCCATTGCATCAGGGGAGATCACACCGTTTCAGGCTCTGGTTTTCCTTGGAGGCCAGCTGAGTTTAGCACTGGGGGTTCTGCTCTGCCTCAATTACTACAGGTGCTTTCTATTTTACAGTATTTTCACACAATATTTTGGTCACACTTTAGTTTAAAAAAAAAAAGACCAATTCTCACTATTAAGTATTATTTACAACTTACGCCTCAAACTCCTAATTTGCTGCTTATTAATAGTTAGCAAGGTAAACTTTAAGTTTAGGTATGGGGTGGGATAAAAGGATCTAAAATATGGTCATGCAGAATAAGGCATTAATATGTGCTTTATATATACTAATAAACAGCTAATATGAGCAACTAGTTTGTAGTGAGAATTGGTCCCTAAACTAGTGTTACCTGTATTTTGCCAACATTTGGGACCGGAGTACAATTTTAACTTTCAAGTTGATATTATATTAAAGTGCACTTATTATGCTATTTTTAAGGTTCCTAATATTGTTTTTGGAGTCTCCTACAACAGGTTTTACAAGCATGCAAGATCAAACCACCCTTTCGTTTTATCAAAATATGCATCGCCTCATTTTCCAACAATTCTCAAACGATTTGTTCGAAGCAGTTCTAAGATTCATTCTCTCTAAACCCCTCCTTTCCGTGAGCCTACTCTGCTCTGATTGGTCAGAAGGCCCAGTCTGTTGTGATTGGTCTACCGCGCACAGCGCGTGTCAGAAACTATACTCCCTTTGCCAAAGTTTCTTATTGAACGCTCGATAGAAAATATAAGCATCTATTATTTATCATACTTACAGGTTGTGATTCAGTGGAGCCAGCTGGTCCAAATGAACGGGCTATTATGCTATTTTTAAGGTTCCTAATACTGTTTTTGGAGTCTCCTACAACAGGTTTTACAAGCATGCAAGATCAAACCACCCTTTCGTTTTATCAAAATATGCATCGCCTCATTTTCCAACAATTCTCAAACGATTTGTTCGAAGCAGTTCTAAGATTCATTCTCTCTAAACCCCTCCTTTCCGTGAGCCTACTCTGCTCTGATTGGTCAGAAGGCCCAGTCTGTTGTGATTGGTCTACCGCGCACAGCGCGTGTCAGAAACTATACTCCCTTTGCCAAAGTTTCTTATTGAACGCTCGATAGAAAATATAAGCATCTATTATTTATCATACTTACAGGTTGTGATTCAGTGGAGCCAGCTGGTCCAAATGAACGGGTCCTGTGTTAAACTCCCCAAGATTAGAGAAGCAGTCGTCAGTAAAATGACGTGTTTGTGAGCGGGGTCAAGTTGTTTG